AAACTGGGTTAAGAGTGAGACAAGCCATGCCAGAAAAAAAAAAAAAAAAAAAAAAGAGACAACACCACAACAGCGAGAGCTGGAAAAATGTGCAACGTCAACGCGCTCGGAGTCTACGTGTGGGAGACAATCGTTTTCTTCAGGTAAGGCTCGGCTTTACGCGAGGAGCGCAGCCGGGCTGGGCACAGCACTTGGCCCAGCTCAGGGCACAACCCCTGGGCACGGCCCCTGCCCCCAGCTGCCCTCTGCCTCCCCTCGGTGCCCCCCGGGCTCGCTGTGTCCCAGCCCCAGGCTCGGGACATTCAGCGGCTCGGGGAGTTACTCCGTTTAATTAGCGCCGCAATCTTGCTAACCGCAGTGCTGAAAACACCGAGCCCGGCTGCTTGCAAAGTGACAGCTAGTGGCGGCTGGCAATGCTGCACTTGAATTTGCCCGGGTAAATATTCCCAACTCGCCCCCTCCCCATGCTCAGATTGCAGGTGAGTTCCGTGGGATGCTTCCACTGCCTGCCTCTGAGGGATCACCCTCTGTCCTTAGCTGGCTGTGTTTAAAATCGCCAAAAGCAAAGAATAATCTCCTTCCTTCCCAACTTATTTTTTTCTCTTTCATGCTGTTTTGAATATTCTATCTTTGCAGAATCCAAATGAAAGCCAAAGGGGGTGGGGGGAGCTTTTTCCAATTATGCCTATTATCCCCCAGCTGTATTTTGACTCTGATTTAGATGTGTTCAGTTTCTCATTAAGGCTAAGATAGAAGGAACCGCTTTAGTCTTAAAGAATTGCTTCTTGTCCGTCTATCCTTGCAGTGCTTTTATTAAATAGAAAAAAAAATTGGACAGTAGAAGCTTCTATATTTCAATGAAAAATGCAGCCTGCTGTAGCAAGTGAGAAACACCAATATAGGCAATTGGAGAAAAAAACAAACCCTGTTTCATGATCTAAACTTGCTCATCAGTCTCAGCCTTCCATTCAGTTGCATGGCTCTTACTTCTGTGTTTTGCCAAAGTCTCATCTCATTGTTTAATGTGAAAACACAGGCATTATTTGCTTAAAATCACTGGCATAATACTTATTAGTTTATGAATCACAGCAGCAGACCAGTACTAGCCAGCCTTTGAGCTAACATCCTCTTTCCTTTTGAACACAAAAGTCTTTCTAGATATAAAAAAAATGGAACATCCCCACTTGTTCCTGTAATTCCACAGAAATTCAGAGACAGCAAGATTGTCTCATGAACTCAAAGGAGTAATTGTTTATGTTAGGTAAAACAAGAGTTCTAGAAATAACTAAAATCACCAATCTCTGAGAAGCAGAGCCAAATAACCAACACTTTAGAGTCATCCTTTCTCATCTTAGTCACAAGTGTATTGCAGCCCTGCAGGACACAGTGGGATGGGCTGACAAGGAGCAAATGGATGTGCAATAAACTCTTAGTTCAACACTGGGAAGAGTGGGTTAAAAAACAAACAAAACAAACAAGACTAAACAACACAAACACCAGAAAGCAAAAGGAAAATCACATAACTGAAAAAAAAAAATAGTGTTTCCAGGCTTGCATTTGCCATGTCCCTGGTACTGAAGCCTCTGAAGTGACAGAACGGTGAAATTGATGCACACTGACAGTGAAATTGATGCACACTCGTCCTGCAGATCCTGCTCACACTTGTGCTCCATCACACCACATGTGTAAGCACTGACAGGTCCCCAGCACATCCATCACAGCCATGAGCAATTCAAACCCCTGGTAAACCAGTCACTTCAGATTCTAATGCAAAGGTTCATAACGTTATAGACTATACATAGAGATATGTGGTATTACATCATATTGCATCCAAAAGGTATTTTGTAACTTTATTTTCCTTAAAATCAGCATTTAAAAATATTTGAAAATGCTTTAAGACAATTACAGGGAAAGGATGAAATCAAATTGGTTTCTATATTGTAATAATGTTTTAAATACATTTAAAAAACAAACAAACAAACAAACAAACAAACTAATCAGTAATTCCTGCTCAGAACTGACTCTACACAATGTTTTTTCTTTTTTTCTCTCTTGCTTTGTATTATGTGTTCAATTTATTACAGGCCAAAAATCTACCAGCCTCTCTAGTCCAGGAATAGCTTTGCTATTTCAGTTTCAGTAAGAGAAGTTTATTAATTAAGAGTCATTCATAAATTATGTGTGCCAATTACTCCTACTCAAACTCAGTCATACATGATGTTTAACAAACCCAAAGCTGATAATCCAATAATCCATAAAAGAAGTATGCATTAATTTAAATTACAGAGTGCACCACGCTTTATTGTCAGCCTGTCAAAGAGAATCCATTGTATGTTAGCATATATACCCCACAAATATATATATCAAAAAAATAAGAAAAGCAAAAGAAAATCTAGCATTCCAAGGAAAATTATATACAGCCAATATAGGAAAAATAAGCCAATATAGAAAATAAAGCTAGATTTGTTCCTTAACAGAAATGTCCTCCACCAGCCATTTAAAAAACAAGACCCCATGGGAAAGAGTAACAGCTGGTGTGTGAATGCAAACATTATGGTACTGCCAATATAATATTTGTTTCTGTTCCAGTTGGGGTGTTTTAGAAGGAATTTGTGATATGTGGCTTTTTCTGACATGCCTTTCTTTATGGAAGATCACTTCCCATCCTGCTACCTGCCTCTCAGACTGCAGTCACTTGGCTGTGACTCAGGCTTTTCCTGGGAACCTGGGCAGGGATGGGAACTGGGCTGGGATGGGAGATGAAGACAGCTTATTTGGCCAAGCTTTCCTTACAGGTATCTAGGTAAAGCAAAGTGCTAGTTCCTTAAAATAGATTGGACAGTTTGGGGCAAAATTGGACACAGGGATTTCCAGATGTCCTGCTTATATCCGTGGAGACATTTACAATCAATCATTCTCCCAAAGTCTAACTACACACCCTGAGTGTTCAGCTGTGAATTCCTTCATGCAGAACAAAATGCTCTCTTATCCTGTGATGATCTTGCCTGGACGTTCTGTGGTACCATTGAATTTTCATGGTAAATACCACTGCATAAGCTGGGGTAGGAATGCACATTGTCAAATTAGAAAAGATGCCCTACAACTAACCCTCCCTACCCAAATGGACACTGTCCCGTGAGGCTTTGAAAACCTCTGGGCCTGATTTTGGTCCTAATATCAGGGATCAGCAGCACAACCTTCATGTCTCAAAATCAGGGTTGGCCCCTTCTGAACAACAATCTGTCAGCTTGCAGGAGTGCTTCCAGGCAACTGCTCCAAGTGAGTCACAGGCTAAAAGTTGCTGCCAGCCTCAGTCCCTATTGGATTGCTCCACCTGGCCTGTTTATATTCCCTCCTGTCATAACAGAGCTCTTCATTGCCAGTTGATAAGCAATAAGAAAGTGCCACTGAGAACATGAAGCCTCAACTTTGCAGGGAGGAAAAAAAAACACGAACAAAACATCTCCTAAAACAGTCTTGGCAAGTAAAGGGGATGACTGGAGAGCTGCTGGTTTCATCTCCTTGAAAATATCAAGAATAAGAATAACCTGCACCATATCTCTTAGGTTCCTGCTATAGCTCTGCAGGGAGAGGTAACATTACACAGTGAAGATCCAGCCTGAGACTTCCAGAGCCAAAAGATAAATGATGTATCAGATGTTGTCAACAGTCACAGAATATTTTCCATTCTAACTAAAATCCACTAGAAGTTGTGCCTTATGACCTGTTGTGCCTCTGCAGAGTCCCTCATCTCCATGAAATAAAAGTGATTTAGCAAGTCTTGGACCAGATGGTTCTAAGGATACTCTTTAGCTGCCTTGGTCTGCAACCTTTAATAGCCCCATTAGAGACCCTGCTAAAAGGGTTACAGAGCCAAGGTTCGAAAATGTGACTATCTAGACAATTCTAGAAATCTTTATAAATCATTCTGTAAAGAAAGATTAATTTGGTGTCATTGCAGTAAAAGCACAAAATGTCTGGGACCTTGCCTTCTTCAGGGACTTTGATCCATCCATCCTGACTCTTGCATTTAAGACAAATCAACATAAACTACATAAAACATTTTCTGACTGAAATGCTGATGCACTGATGCTCTGTGCATCTCCCCTGGTCCTGGGCAAACAACATCTCTTGTGGGCTGAAGAAATTCATCTCACCAAACCCTCATGAGCTGACCTGGATAGAAAAGGATCTCAACATCTGAATTAAGAAGTTAATCAATGTCCAAAATTAAATTACTTTATTATCCCAGCACTGAGCAGCAATCATTCATCTGCAATAGGAAAGCAGCAGATAGGCCTGTTCTCATTTCATCCCAGCATGCAGCTTAAAAGGACTCTCCAAATTCCAGTGTCAAAACAAGGTGTCAGTCCACCTAATGAATAGAATTTCTGTTTAGGTACTGATGAAAGACAAGAGTCCTATAAAAATAAATCATGCTTTAAAAATCACACTAACTCACAGCTTTTAATTATGTCAAATCACATCACCCATTCTCACTTGCTTATTTTCTATAACCTGGAGCTTTTCTGAGATTCCAAAGTGATCAATGTTAAAACAACAGATAGGCTGTTTACAAGTTATGACTTCCATCTGGTTTATTTGCCTGTATCAGCTCTCACTGTTGTGGCACATTAAATTAGGGTTTCACTATTTCCAGTAAATTACCCTTTTGCTCTCATTACCTGGCATGTTTCTACTGACCTTCATCTATCAGCAAGAGCACAAATTGGTTTTTTTCATGAACTATGGTTACACCTGTACCTCACACATTTCAAGAGAAAGGTTTCATCATAAGCTTCCAAAAGCTTAAAATGTCATTCCAGCACACCCCTCCCACCACAGTTGGATTCAATTTTTCAAGTAATTCCAAGAACTTCTGATAACTTTAGTTTGGAAAAAAAAAAAAATCCAACAAAATGACAACAACCCAAACCAACAACACACCAAAACCCAACATAGCTTGGGATATGTGAAGCAAAAAGGAAAGAGAGAAGCAGGAATTCTTTCTGCAAGGCACTGGAAGGATCAGCAGCAGCCACAACCAGAAAACTCAACACCAGTCTGACTGCTGCCTTCCAGACCTACTTGCACAGCCCAAAAAAGAGCATTTTTGCATTGTACCAGCATAATAAACTAATGC